TGGGGGGGGGGGGAGGGGGCTATAACTTACTGTTAGGATTGAGATTCCAGATGCGTAAGAACCAAAAGGTGCAAGCCTCCCACGGGAGGTCTGAGGGGTTCTCTCCTAGAAAAATTTTGAAAACTACAATTGTTTTGATGCATTCTTGTGTATTTGGGGTAAAAGCACATAAAAATCATATTTTGAAATTTCTCAGAAGCAAATCAGGGGTGAAAATGGGGGGACAAACTGTTTTTCTACGGTGGCAAATGCGTCCCCAGTACCCCACTGGAGCTGTCACTGCTAGGTGGGCTAATGAGGACGGGCAACATTATGCAGTGTGTGATGAGGGACACAACAGTGACATTATCAAACAATCTGAGATAGAGTATAGAGGACAGATAGTATCATTTTATGGCTGGATAATAAATCTAATCTTATTATGATGAAATTTATGTTAAAAATGAATGATCCAAGATTGTTATGTTCTTTTTGTCAGAAAGGGATTGTAAGGAAGTTTTCTAAACTCTTTATATGTATAGGGGACACCATTCAAATTTTCAGTCAGATGTCTGTGATTCTTGCAAGTTCACTAAAACTAAGTGTAACCGTACTGTGCCGAAGTTGTCACAAAGTCTTAGATAGCTTCTCTTGTAATATTAATGCCATATATGGTACAAAATTTCTGTAATTACAGGAACCACAGACATCTTACAGAAAAATGGAAAGATCCAAATTAAAGGTAAAACTCCTCTGTACAATCTCTATTAGTGTGTATCAAGGAAAATTATACATAATTGAATGTCAAATATATATAGTCAAGTAACCTAATTTCGTGGAAACCTATTATTCATGGATTTCCGGAAACGATTAATAATTTACATGAGCGACCTTGCGCGACCTCCGCATTAGTTTGTTTTGATAAACATGGGTTTTATCTACAATATCAGCTAGTAGAATGAATCCAGTAGTTTCAAGCAAGGTAAATGTAATAATGTATACTTTGACAAATACAAAATGGCGGATTTCACTTATTACCAAACGATACCATTTTTTATCGGCCGAATTTCCTTATAATCCCAAGCGGTAATCGGAATTCCAAGTGTCGTCTGCTAGATTATATTCCAACGAATGAAGTCACGTGATCAACTAGCGGATTCCGTGTCAGCAGAAAATTTCTATGGAACACAAAGTGGACCGTATTCTTATGTTGTTTCAGTGACTTTTAGCAATAAATCACGCTACGTGTCTTATTTTGTCAGTCACTATTTTTTTTTTAAATCGTGGTTCTTTGAAGGAATTGACACTAGTTATAATGAATTGATATTAAAGATTAATACTAAGAGAAGTTAATTATACCACCCGGTATCCATACAACGTGTTGTTCTAAACTTATCTATAGATCAAACATTGTACACGAAAATGAGTGACGCATTCTGCCGCCATTGCCGAGTTGGTTGCTCATGAAATATGGGTCAAAGTGAAGGATTCATAAAGGAAACATCAAAGACATAAATTTTTTTTTTTTTGTTTTTTTAACTTTGACGAAATTCAGTGTTGAATCCTTATATCCACGAAAATAGGTTGCACCACTGTATATGCAGAGAAACTTATCTGATTCACAACAGGGGAATATTATCATATCATAAGCATCCTTCCAATTTCCCGACGGACGGCGATTCCTATATTACAGAACTACTTATTAAGTGGATTATGAAGTCGCGTCTCTCACAATGTTTTTTTGAAAATGATAACTCAAAATGAGGGTGAGTTTTTCTCCCTCGCAAGAACCACGTATGTCAGGCAGGAAATTAGAATGGTGAAATTAGAAGTTATGTGCCCGATACACATACATTAAACATTGGCAACACACTTTTAATGAATTCCTTTAGGCTATATGAGAGAAATCTCTCCGATTCAACCTTCAAGCTTATAGATAAAACAGATAAAAAAAATTATAACTTAGAACATTAAATGATATACATGCTTTGCAAAAATCATTAAGTTAATAATTACAGAGCCAAATTTGTCTTAGACTTTCAGATTTTTCTCTCAACTCTCAGAAAAGCATGCCAAGGTTGCAATGTCTCACCTAGAAGTTCATCAATAACAGGAACTTCGCCTAAATCTTCCAATAGTTCATGTAATGGGTCATCATGCTCAGGTGAGATCTTGTCTTGATGATCTAATAATAACTGAAATAATAATAGACAGGCTTACAATGATGGTATTAAAGGCGACAAAAATCAGTGACAAAGATTGTTCCTGTTCCCCCATCATAGAATGAACTTTCGATTCTCTAATTTTAAAACGATTTACTAAAGACTGAGCTATCCTATCAACAAGGAAAGCAATTAGACCAATATTTCCCTTCAAGCAATTTCTGTTTAGTGGATTGATAATAAAAGACTACCTGATGAGTATCGACAATTTCTGAGACAGAGATATAAATAACAGGCTTAGATATCATAGTAACATCTGTATACTGATCTATATTAAATTTACTTTCTGGATCTTCAACCTCACATGCTGATAAACAATACTTTCTGAAAAACAAACACATGATAAATAATACTTTCTAAAAACAAACACATGATAAACAATACTTTCTGATAAACAAACACATGATAAACAATACTTTCTGATAAACAAACACATGATAAACAATACTTTCTAAAAACACAAACACATGATAAATAATACTTTCTGAAAAACAAACACATGATCAATAATATTTTCTGAAAAACAAACACATGCTTAACAATACTTTCTGAAAAACAAACACATGATTAATAATACTTTCTGAAAAACAAACACATGATAAACAATACTTTCTAAAAACACAAACACATGATAAATAATACTTTCTGAATAACACATGATAAACAATACTTTCTGAATAATAAACACATGATAAACAATACTTTCTAAATAATAAACACATGATATTCTCTGAAAAACAAACAAGATAAATAATACTTTTTGAAAAACGAACACATGATAAATAATACTTTCTGAATAACACATGATAAACAATACTTTCTGAATAATAAACACATGATAAACAATACTTTCTGAATAATAAACACATGATAAACTATACTTTCTGAAAAACAAGCACGTGATAAACAGTAAGGTGTTACATATTACTGATTAGCTTAGTTGCACATTTTCTGTTTCTAAGATCAAGGTTTAATTGACCTCATAAAATGGTGAATCATGGCTTTAAGGTGATAAAAACCATTCAATTTAAAATAATTGTCTATAGTCATTTGACCAAATTGATTTTTTATCTCAATAACATGGCTTAACCATTACCAATAGGTTCAGATTATCAAAGAAACCCATTAAAAATATTTGGACATATAATATACTATCTTGAAATATACCCAGAAACTTTTTGTTGAAAAAATACTAAATTTCTACCATTTCATGGATAGTTATTTCAATAAGTGTTTCATGTTGCCTTTCCAAATTTGATGGCAAAAATTTTACTTTGTATTACTCCCACAGAAAATATAATACAGGCAATATAAAGGACATTAACTAAAAAACTACACAAAAAAATTATTCTCAGCATAGAAGTTTACAACAAATCACTTAAAAGAAAATATAAATCACCATTTGACTGACAATACACATAAAATCAATGGCTACAAAAAAATATTTCAATTTTCAGGGAGGCAAGATTTTTTTCTTAAAACATTTATCTTAGCACTGAAAGAAGCAAAGGATTTTATAACAGCTAAAAACAACTCCATTTTTATTAATATGGGGCCATGGGAACACTTTCTTGCCTAACATATCTTTTATTTTCCCGGTTTCCAAAAAAATACAACAAGTGAGGACATGGTACCAACATTATCACATTTCATACCATATATATCTGAATAAAATGCGGAAGACAATTTATGTCACAACATTTTAAATATGGGTTTCCTTATTTTTTTAGTGTCAAATTAAGCAAACTATTTGATTAATTGGTGTTTCTAATGAATTATCATGTATTCGTAATCATGTCATCATGTTCTTATTGCATGTAATTTAGAGTTTAAATCAATCAAAAAATGTACATTTATGTACAGTCTGGTATTTTTCTAAGTTATTAGAACACCTCTACTTTCTATTCATATAAGTATTAGCATTTTCATTTTCATAAATGAACATAAGGGAACCCATCTTTAATGTTATGTTAAGGATTTGTAGAATTTTATTAGCCTTTTAAACATATGAGATATAGATGGATCAATGTTATATTCTCTGATTTTAAATTCAGTGGTACTATATCTTTAAAGATAAAAGAAGCCTATAATGTAGAGTTATTATAGATCTAGAAAGGAAGAATGAAAAGTGAGATAACCTTTGCCCATGGTAGCAGTTAGAGAACAAGTGTAAGAGTACTCATCTTAAAAATATAGAAGTACTAAGTTCTAATCAGAGGAGTCGTTTATCAAATTGTGTCAAGATTGGCAGACGACAAAGTTCAGTTTTGATTAGATTTGGATTGGATTTGGTATTGGATTACAATTTCCATTATTTATTTTTGGAATCCATTGTAATCTAACAAGATTTCTAGCACAGTACGGTTCAAATGTCGCTATTTCAACTAACCAGAATGTGTCATATGAAACCTGTTTGTTGAGAACAAGAATAAATTGTGGGAAATATACTTCTGGGAGGGTCTTAGTGTCCCACGATTCTTTAGTGTTTTAAATACAAATATTAGAATTATATATGTTTGCGTATATTTTTGTGTATTTCCACGCTAGTATATAAAAAGTATTTCTACTTCAATCAAGTTTGAAATAACAGACAGTTTTAATCATGCAATACAATCATCTTTAAAAAAATAAATTTTAAAAATGGCAAAAAAAAAAGAATCAAAACAAATTGTTTGATATCAATCAGTATTGAATTTGCTTCAAGTTTGATAAAGAGATGTAACCATTTCAAACAAAGAGGAAATGCTTTTTACGACTGATTTAAAAAACAAAATGAAAATTGAGGCTGATTTGAATAGAGATAAAGTTACAGAGAAAAGTTACTTCAGGTGTATAACGCCTAATGTTATGTATCATTTAATGATATGTATATAAAAAACCTAATGTTATGTATCATCCAATGATATGTGTATAAAACACCTAATGTTATGTATCATTTAATGATATGTGTATAAAACACCTAATGTTATGTATCATTTAATGATATGTGTATATAAAACACCTAATGTTATGTATCATTTAATGATATGTGTATAAAACACCTAATGTTATGTATCATTTAATGATATGTGTATAAAACATCTAATGTTATGTATCATCTAATGATATGTGTATATAAAACACCTAATGTTATGTATCATCTAATGATATGTGTATATAACACCTAATGTTATGTATCATCTAATAATATGTGTATAAAACACCTAATGTTATGTATCATCTAATGATATGTGTATAAAACACCTAATGTTATGTATCATCTAATAATATGTGTATAAAACACCTAATGTTATGTATCATCTAATAATATGTGTATAAAACACCTAATGTTATGTATCATCTAATGATATGTGTATAAAACACCTAATGTTATGTATCATCTAATAATATGTGTATATAAAACACCTAATGTTATGGTTCCATCTGATGTTATGTACATATAACATGGCTTTAACTAATTTTATGTACATATAAAATGGCTTTATCTATTGTTTTGTATATATTTGTATAAAATGGCTTTATCTGATGGACATGATATTACTACATTTCAAATTGCTTTCTAAACCTTTGACCTTTCAGTTCTAATTAATCCGATCAACATTATAGGGTCAAAGTTCAACTTAAATTAATCTAAAGAACTGATCAGGTCATAGATGGCAAATTTAACAACCCACAAAAAAAAATATCTAGATCAGTAGAAACTTTGTATCTAGAATCAAAAATTTACTTACTTGAATTTTTCATGAGATGTCTGATATATTCATTCATACTAGATAGATAGGCACTTTCACCACCAAACTAAAATATAATAATAACTAGTTTGATATAGCCTACTGCTGTCAACCTTGTGGCAATATTACCAGTTTTATCTTATACCTTGACTTGTATCTTGTATCATGGAATGCAGAGATTTGATTGCACTAGTAAATACAGCCATTAAGAGCCTCTGACAAAAAGGCTGTTGACATTATGGCTTATTGTTTACAGACTTTCTGTGGCCTTTTATTGTTCCCTAGCATATAATCCAATCAAATTTCTGCATTTATAAATTTCTGTGACACAAGAAAGGTACCTATTGCAGTCAAGGTATTAAAGGCAGTTTGTTATAGTTTTTACATTGCAAAATGTGGTGTTTAATAGCAGAAAAAGCAAAATCACCATCAAAATTAAGAGTTTGATAGAAAAAGGGCACTGAAGGTCCTTTTACTTACTCCTTTATTTGAAGCTGCAAACTGTAAAATCTTGGCAATAGATCCAAGATTTCTTCTCTGATCATTAGTTAACCCTTTATCAGCACTCATTGTAATGATATCAAAGGCATCAGGAGCAACTATAGCACTGTTAATATAGCGGTAATATAGCAAATTACCAACAATCTACAAACAAATATAGCCATATTATTTATATTTTCATAAATATCATGCACGACTGCATGATATGTTGCATTCGTTACTCATACAACCTCCCACATGGTTTTGGTAGTTTCGATTGTTCTTTCCTGCTGATAAACTACCCACTTCCCATTTTGCCCCCAAGAGATAACGAATACAGCATTTTTATATGAACTCCATATTATTGATTAAAATGATGCATGTTTAGAATACTAACATGCATAAAAAGGTATCAGGTTGATCTGTGACATTTGTCTTAACAAACACTGTGAAATACTTTGAAAACTGATTTATTTTGATGAGAAGTAGATCAAAAGGCAGTTATTTTTGGCCCTAGTGATCGAGACTAAATATAGTATGCTAGTCATCTATTTAACATCCTTCAACTTTCTGATGAACTCTTCCACACATGCTTAATTTCTATATATGCCTATATGTGCATGATTGGTAAGAGCTTGTTTTACAGAATCCCTGGAAAATTCATAAAATTAAGTAATTATTGAAAAATGCTTAATCTTAAGATTAAGCGTTTTTCAATAGTTAATTGCACATTTATGGATAATTACTAAGTTATTTGATTTATTGGATTATATAAGGATCCTGTTATGTTATTTATGACACCAGGTATATCTACTGATGAATATATGCTCTTATTGGCTAAGTTTTAAATTCTTAAATTTTATGTTCATTCTAAGACGTAGTATCCCTTTAAGAACAGAAACTTACTTTTAAAACATCTTTTTCTAAGGCATCTGGGAATTTTTGCATTAGAGTTTGTCTCATGACCTTAGCCATATACCTCATACCATACCTAATAAATCAAATACTATATTTAGTAAAGAGTACTAATCTTTTAGTCAAATACTAATCAAGTACAAAATGAACTAATCTTCTATTTTTACATTATACATTACATAGCCTTGAGCAAGGTTTTCAAAACGATGTTAATGTACTGAACTTCATCTGAGAAGGTTGAAAAAAAACCTTAGTAAAGATCAGACTATAAAGTAAAGAAATAACAGTCCAAGACAAACTAAAGCCACGTTTAAACTGCCACAAATTATCTGGCTGAGTGCAAGCTTAGTGCAAAAAATTGCACAGCCTCAGACGGCTCGACACTATGCTAGTTTAAGTGTTCCGAGTACCACAAGGAGAGGTAGCCTCGGTTGGAGTACGGCAGGCCAAAATATCAGTGCAGTGTAAACACGCCACTGGGCATCACCCCAGGAGAAGTGCACATGTGCAATAATGACCTTGACCCTATGAAATGTAATGCCGTAATAAATAAATTGTGTTGCAATGGCTTGCAACGCCAATATTCGCCAAAAAGATAAAATTTTATTTCTTTGTGTCTCAAAAGCAAAGTTAGAGATTTTTAAGAATCATTTGACAAAATTAATCACAAAACTTCAAAATCATCGCCTTGTTTATGGTTGGCAGCAAATTGAATGCTTGCAGTTTTTCGACCTCCACTGACTAGAGAGCAGGTGAATACTTGATGACTCACCATTCTGGCTCAGTAAACAGTGCAGTGTAAACTGTACAGGCCAACAGAGCCAAGTCCAGAACTAGCACAGTTCATTACAAGTGAGCCAATTTTAATGGCAGTGTGAACAAGGCTATAGTATAATGATCTTAAAATCAACATTTATTGGAGCAACCCACTTCATTTGTAGGTAGTTTAAGTAGTATTGAGCAAGATTAATTCAACCTCAGACTAAAATGGACTGATCATGATTATGTTTTGAATTGTTCCTGGAAAGCTACAAGAGACAGAGAAATCTTACGGTATTTTATCTAGTGAATTAAGGACAGTTGATAAGAATTTATCCGTAACTTCTTGAAGACATTTAATCGATTCTTCTACTTGTTCTACAACTTCTGGATGCTTTAGAGCTTGTTCTGTTGATACTTCATAGGGTAAACCACTGGAAAAATACAAAATTTGTTTCATATTTATTTCAATTGAACACAAGAAAATAAATGGCCCAACAAAATTTGCTAAATCAAAAATTATCCTGAATTTTGGTGATGCTCTTGGTGATGCTATATGGACACTATCCTGCAAGATCTACTTCTTAAAATTCTGGATTTGTGCCATTTTCAGTGGTCACATGTTAACAATTGTTTTTTCTCTGATCCACTAGATATGATTTAAAATTTAGCAATATTGTAAAGGTAAGAAAGGGTAAAGGTAAGAAAGGGTAAAGGTAAGAAAGGGTAAAGGTAAGAAAGGGTAAAGGTAAGAAAGGGTAAAGGTAAGAAAGAGTAAAGGTAAGAAAGGGTAAAGGTAAGAAAGGGTAAAGGTAAGAAAGGGTAAAGGTAAGAAAGGGTAAAGGTAAGAAAGAGTAAAGTTAAGAAAGGGTAAAGGTAAGAAAGGGTAAAGGTAAGAAAGGGTAAAGGTAAGTAAGAGTAAAGGAAAGAAAGAATAAAGGTAAGAAAGGGTAAAGGTAAGTAAGGGTAAAGGTAAGAAAGGGTAAAGGTAAGAAAGGGTAAAGGTAAGAAAGGGTAAAGGTAAGTAAGAGTAAAGGAAAGAAAGAATAAAGGTAAGAAAGGGTAAAGGTAAGAAAGGGTAAAGTTAAGTAAGGGTAAAAGTGAGAAAGGTTAAGGTAAGAAAGAGTAAAGGAAAGAAAGAATAAAGGTAAGTAAGGGTAAAAGTGAGAAAGGGTAAAGGTAAGAAAGAGTAAAGGAAAGAAAGAATAAAGGTAAGTAAGGGTAAAACTGAGAAAGGTTAAGGTAAGAAAGGGTAAAGCTAAGAAAGGGTAAAGGAAAGAAAGAGTAAA